TTAGCTGTAGGGGGTGCAGCGTCACTGGCCCTAATGTGGGATCCAAACCAGGGCCTTGCTGCTCAGAGCTGGTGTCCCAATCCAACTCTTAACCAATGCACCACTCGGCCGGCCCGAGTTTTATACTTTTTAAAATTTCTTTCATGAAAACTAACTTATTTCATATTTCTGGTTTTCAAAACAATAATAATGATCACTTATTTTGTCTTTTTTACAACATCTATTATATGCCAGATATCATTGTTTGGCTTTTGCATATTGTTGCAGTTAACCTAACTATAAGCTCTATTTTAAAAGAGGAAAACAGAGGCTGTGAGAATGAGACTAGAGCTAGAATTGTAAAACCAGCATTTCTTCCACTCTATTAGCATTGTTCCCATAAATGAAGAATAGGATGATGGTGCTACTTAATGGCACAAAATTACAACAGAATGGAGTAAACAGCATACTTTTTTTTAGATTTTATTGGGGAATTGGGGGAGGGGAACAGTGTTGGGGAATTGGGGAAGGGAAACAGCCAAGTTATTGTCCTTTAATCTTAGTTGTGGAGGGCGCAGCTAGCTCAGCTCCAAGTCCAGTCGCCATCAGGCCGCCCTTCAGCAGCTCGCGGCAGCTCAGCTCAAGGTGCTGTGTTCAATCTTAGTTGCAGGTGGGCATAGCCCACCGTCCCATGCAGGAGTCGAACCAGTAACCTTGTTGTTAGGAGCACATGCTCTCACCAGCTGAGCCATCCTGCCACCTGTTGGCAGCTCAGTGGCATCTCAGCTCAGGTACAGCTCACTGGCCCATGTGGGAATAGAACTGGCGACCCTGTTGCTCAGAGCTCATGCCCTAACCAACTGAGCCACCCAGCTGGCCCTAAACAGCATACTTTTAATGTTACTGAAAAACTAAAGTATTGCTGAAATCATAAATAAGTATCAGTTCAACTTGTCAAAACTTAACCTCAAATAGACTTAAAATACCCTTGAGTCTAAACTCCTAGAAGCCAGGGCCATATTTTACCCATTTTTATACCCCAGCTCTTATTCCATTTCCTATTGAAGTCCCTCAAAAAATTTTGTCTAACCATTTGCACTGATTAGTAAGATACTGTATTGTTTCCAGTATTTCCTGTCAAGTAAAGCTGGAATGTCCTGTGTTTAGCCTTTGTCATGTCTTTTTTTTTAAAGACAATAACTAAAGGTACAATTGAATGGAAATCAAATGGAGAATGTCAGTACTAACAAGATTCATTTCCCAGGTTTATTGATTTTGATGTGGTCCCCTCCACCTTCTGCTCCCAAGACTACCTGGCAATTTATGATGGTGTTAACATCAGTGATCCCCTTCTCGGCAAATTCTGTGATTCCAATCTTCCAGCAAATGTTAAGAGCAACAGTAATAGTATGCTTCTGGAGTTCAAGACAGACTCATCTCAAACAGCCAGAGGTTGGAAGGTATCTTTCCGGCAGACACTGGGTAAGAATTTTGGATAGTAAATCTATTTTTCATTAGTGTTAACTTTTGTGCTTTTTTTTTTCTTCTCACCTGACTAAAATTGCTTTTTATTTAAGTTTAGAGGAATACATCACATAAAGTTTTGGTTTTCAAAATTATGTACGTTCTGATTTTTTTTAAAAAAATCGTGCAACAAATGTACTTCTGTAGCATACACAGGTATAAAGTCTGTCTGCACAACCATCTCCAATGGGATCTGAGTCTCATTTTATCACCTGTGGAAATGGTAAGAGTTGAGCCTAAAGTCAGGGGCCAGATGAAGCAAGAAGGGCCCATCGCCTGTGTTGACTTTATCCTTAAGATGGTTAAGAGTGTTGGAGAATTTTAAGTAAAGACTGCATGGCCAGACTTGACTTATGAAAAAATTATAGTGATACCATGTTGGAGGAAGGCTTAGAGGGACCCTGAGATGTGAGAAGGAGGAAGCTTATTACAGAGTTCCCGATGAGAAACGTTGAAGGTTCAAACTAGCACAGCAGGAATGGAAATGCAAGGGTAGAAAATCTCAGAGATATTCAGCAGGTAGAGTACATTGGAAAGACAGTGTTTGGAACTTGATATGTTACATGAGGACAAACGATGAGGATGACTTCTTAGGAATAAGTTGTTGGATAGGGGTGCCCTCAGAGGCTAAGAATTAGGGAAGAAATATTATATTTAATTTGGAGCATTTGGGGTTGGAGAGCCTATGAGATATCTAAATGGAGAAATATAGGAGGAAGTAGAAACCTGGGCTGGAGATAGGCGATCTGGGAGCCATGTAGAGGTGAAAGGAAAAGCTAGGTATGAGGATAAATAAAAAATAACCCCTGGTTTGTTCCCACTGCATGCGAGAAATAATTATTTCTATGAAAGTAACTCAGAACTTTGAATCATTTAAAGTGTAAGGTAATTAATCAGTCCTCTGTTTATCTATACTCGTAGCATCAGTCACACGGTCTAACATAGTTTCTATTTGACATTGTAAAGTGTTTTGATTCTTTCATTTGAATATAGATGTGTATTCTATAATATAGGATACCGTGTTCTGAAAACGAACAGCTCACCACACAAGTCACATACTGTGACGTGTTAGAGAGACCTGGTACGTTTTCTACAATAAGAACCCGGAGTTACTCTTGAAACTCTTTCTTTCTCCTTACCCCATGCTGTGGATAACCTTCATCCCTCTGATTCCATGCAGAGCTTGACTCACACTTCTTCTCATTGGGCCTGATGGTTTGTATGTGTGCATTTCTTCAGGGAAGCAATTAGGCACTATGCTTTGAAGGCTTCCCAATGAACAGCAGACATCCCGACCAATTATATCAGAGAGGCACTTGGCCACCTCCCCAACTTAGCTGTATCAACAGTAACCTTAAAGCAAGTCTCTCGGGCAGGTAGAGAGTGTCACCTTAATGGAACTGCCTAAGTGAAGTGGCATACAAAACACAGGAGGCTATTTTGAAGGAAAAATTAATTTTCCCCTGCGGATTGTTTTTGTACAAAGGAACTCATAGAGTCTTGTCTTTAGCACAGACTTTAGAATCAAATGGCATGTCTTTGCATTTGTTCTTGTTTCCCTGCTTTCAAGTTGTTTTTCTTTTCCCTGATATATTCCCACATGACCATTGGAATAGTCTTAAAGCACTCCATACGGTTGCCATCGGCAGAAAGGTTGGCAGGCTAGCCCGTGTGCTCCAGCCTCATTAAATTACTGTGTTCTCCTGGGCTATCAAGAAGAGGCTTTTGGACTTACTGTGGTTCTACTGAACTGAAGTAGCGCAGTAGGAAAAAATCTTACACTGTCAGAGGCACCGTTCATCCATGAGCATCGGACGCTTTCACTCGATTACTGTTTTCCTCTGGTCACAGTTAGAGAAAAGGTTTAAGTGCAGAGAGCAGAAATAAAATTTCAATTACCTGCCAGTCTTGTGCTACCACTGCGTTTCATGAGGGTGAAACTTTTGCCTCTTTTTCATCTGTATAAACACCATCTGCCACTTGGAAATATTTCAGTAATTTTAAGTAATTTTTGATGATAATTTTTTACTGAAAATCTAAGTGTTATAATGTTATATTCTATAGTGTTACAAAGCTTTCAAGACCACACGCATAAATTAGCAGATCATTCTGCATAACTTTAATTTTGTTTGGTTTGGTTTTCTGTTTGTTTGTTTGTTTGTGATGAGGAAAAGGCGAGGAAGAACACGAGTGGATTGAATTCTTGAGTGTATAGTTACAGATCTGGATAAAAACCTAGACTTGGCTATTGGGATGTGCCTTTCATATCCATCTCATCCATTTACAGCTACCATACCCTGTGTTTTCTGCAAAGAAAAGGAAAACAACTTTGTGATCTGAACGGTGAATTTTTGTTTCCAATGCTGTCAGTTCAGCCTGGAAAACAATATCTTCACAGAGTAAATAATTCACGTGAAGGCGAAGCCGTTTTTGTCTACAACATCTCAATTTAGCTTATCTTGATTAAAACACTAGAGCTGTGCAGTTTTGCTATTTATTTTACATACTCGGTGATATTTTATAAATATGTGTTTTAATTTTTCAGAAGTTAGTAAAGAGCCAGCTCATATAAGTATGTGATTATTGAGTAAACTTCTCCTTGTGCATTTGTTGTACTTGTATTGTTCATGGGTCAGAGCACACATGGGTTACATATCCCTACTTTGTTGCTAATTACTAAATATGTAGTGAAATTGGGTCTCCTTTCATGACATCACTGCTGTGAAGGGCCATGTGGTTGGATATCAGGGGAGTGAAAGCAGAACAGGCACTTGGCAGGAGCCCTGTCTGACTGTAATGGGAGTCTGCCTTGCCCCTTTCCACATGCACTTCAGCACTGACATGAATAATTGATCCCTCTCAAAGTGATCAGGCTGGGCCTCGGGGAATTACCTGCAAATCTGAGCATTTTTCTCCAGAGATAGCTTTCATCTGATTGCTAATGGTATCTGTGATCCCATAAAGTTTAAAAAGCCATCAGTCCTGCGGATTTGGCTGCAGTAGGCATGCTCCACAGTGCAGAATTGACACCTGCCAGTGCCCTTTATTCTAGTAACTTCTGCTAGCTGAGTTTCTGCCCCTCCTGGACCACCAGGGTCTGCTTCAGCCATGACCGTGCTTACTTACCTGTATCACTCATGAAGCATTCCAGACTTGCAAACGTGTTTTTAAACCAGCAAAGCCCCATATTCTCTTCCTCTATTTGTCTCATGACATAGTGCTGCTTAGCCAGTCTTTTTGTGACACGCTCATGACATTAGACCCCACACTTAGATGTAGGATTAGATTGGGGATTTAAAGTACCTTGATAGACAGTATAGTACCATGGTCATTTGATTTGTTTTCTTAAGTAATGAATTCTATAACACTTTATCTCAATGCCAGGGTCAAACACTGAACTTGGCCTAATTAGGTCTGAGGTTTTCAGGCATTTGGATCAGTGAGTTGCCAAGGAGAGAGTGAAGAGTGACACCTTCAGGATGGGATGTCCTAGGACAAGGCTTCCCCTCGGAGAAGATGGCAGCATCAGGGACAAGCTGTCAGTGATCAAGAGGTGCACTTCACCTAAGGTTTACATCCTGGACACGTGACTAAAGCTCCCGGCCCCCTGTGGCCCACAGGCGGTGCTGAGGATGAGGGAACTGTCTGTCTCCCTGCACCTGGGGGTTTTGCCATATAAAGAATGAGTCAGGTGGCGTTAAGGTCAGATTCACAGACCTCTGCTGTGAGACAAAGGCAAAAACGCCAAAGCACATGTTTAACAAGGACAAAGTGACTCACGTCCACAGGTGGAAACATGCCCACATGGCAAGAGCTGTTGACGAGAAAGCAGATAGCCAAGACCCAATCATTACGTCATGGCCTACCTGGCAAGATGCTTTAGAAAAGTTCGATCACAGCTCTAAGCTCAATTTTAGCCACTCAAAAAGATCATTTTGAAGTATCACTCCCCTTTCTGTCTTTTAAGAACATGATAGGGACTAAGTAGGCAATTCCTATAAAGTACCGTACACGTGGATGCCAAAGAGAAAAACTGTCTGTATTAGAAAGTAATATTGAAGTCCCAGATTTCTATAGGGCACCATGCCCCAACCCACCCCGCCCTACCTGTAAAGTGAGGGAAGGGGTGACAGGGAGCGTTATTGTTAACAGCACCACTCCATGGTACAATGATTTCTTTCTTACTCACTTTGCCCTGAAATCTAACCAGCAAACCCTAAAGTGTACTTTAGAACTTAAATGTGAAATCAAAAGCTAAGTTCCAATTATATTGTAAGGCCTTGCAGAGGCCTAGCATATAACTGTCACTCCATCAATACTGGATGTCTGAACGAATTAGAGTAAGTGGATACGTTATGCCTACTTCATAATGCTATGGTATATAATATATACAGTATGTTATACATTCCATTTTATCTAGATTCACCTCATTCTCAAAAGGGAATCCTGGTTCATATAGTTCAGCTATTGCTAAGGGTAGTAAGGTGGGTATTTTCATCCTTAGAGAATTAGGCATACAGGATCAGACTCAACATTCGAGACATGTGTCTGGTCCTGGATTTTTGCCTGCTACCTTAACATCTGGATAATGTCTCTCAAATGTGTGAAAGGAAGACAGGTGGCAGTGGTGGGAAGAAGTGGAGGGAGTTAAACAAGGGTTTACTTAGGGGATAGGAGAGAAGGAAAGGGAGACAGAGAAAGCTGATGAAACCGGGGCCCCAATGATGGAAAATATGGTCAGTCATGAGACATAGAGAAAAACATAACATGTCAAATTCCCTTTGGCTTCTAGTTATTTTTAAGTTTCACAGTTTTGGTGTTAAGTTTGAACCTTGAGAGGCAGTCTAAAATTCTGTAGCTATACAATAAAAGAATAAACTTAAAAATATTCAATGACACTAAGTATTGGTGTAAATACAAACTTTGACAACTAAGTTCATGAACTTTCCACTGTGTAA